CATGGTCTGATCGAATAAATCGTGGAAGGTACCTTCCATGATTAAATTTTCATAATAATCGCTATACATACTGTGACGTTCTTCTCCAAATTTCCTTGCATTCGTTTTCTTTCGTCACTGTCATAGTCGACCCCAAGACGGTTTCATAGTCGACTGCTTGAAGAGCGAGAAATTCAACGAAATTAAATTTGTGGACAATCGTAAATGGAATGCGTGTAACTTGTACCTCGGACTACTAATACGCGTATTACTATTCTGAGCTTGTACTGAATGCAAGAGACTGTTTATATTTGCTATGGGTGGTGACTATTATGCAAATTATCTGTCTATTATGTCTTTGGCTGATTAATTAAAACATAGCTTTCAAAACAATGACATGTGCTTTTGTTTTTAATTAACAAAAATTGATTTTTACACCCTATAAAAACATCCTATTCACTTTTTTTCCTACTGAGTGTTTGCTCCTTGTAGTCCAGCATTGAAAAATACAAAAAAGTAGAATTTTGGGTTTCAAAGCAAAAAAACGTGTACAGCATCTTTAAGTGTGTTTGACCGTGGTATTTATCAAGGTAGTCAACAATGTCATGATGAACAGTGCCTGTAATTACCCATAATCCTGTTTGGTGTGTACTAACAGATTGGTTTGTAAAAGTTTGGTAATTTCTCTCTTTCTTTTCTCCAAATTGTTGAATAGTTTGATGTTTTGCTAGAGTACTAGTATTTTTTTTGTTAATGGTAAACCAAATCCATCCCTTCAGCAAAAATAAAGTATTTTACAGTATAAAATTCTTAGATGACTAAGAACCTGGTTGACTGCTTGAATGGCTGATACAAAGTAATGTGCATATTGGCTTCCAGGTGATTATATTTTCCAAAGAATGGCAGCATTTTTAGCATCTCTATAAATTGTTTTTCATTGGAGGTCATTTTGACATTCTTATCACACATTGTAAAAAATACTTTTGAAAAACAAATACCGGTACTGTAGACTCCTTAAGAATTTAATAAGGTCCAAAAATAATGAGCCAATAAAAGATTTAAAAAAAAAATCATTGTTCAATGGTACAAATCATAAAGAACTCTGGGTAATTTATAATGCTGGTAGTTCCTGTGTCTTAGTCATGTGTATAACAGGTGCGTAACTTGGGAATTGAGAGAGTTTTAAGGCCAAATATGCTTAAATTGTCTTTGGTGTATTGGAATACTGTATGAATTTTTGCATTTTGAAAAAAGCATCAGGGCAAACTTTTCAAGAAACGGGGTATATTCCTTTGATGGTTCCATGCAGTTAAAGACCTAGATACTTCCCAGTATGTCTTCCAACAGAACTAAACTTGTAGACACAATAGAATCCTAAAAGTCAAGATTGGTCATGTTGGTGACTACCGTACTAGGGAAAACCAAAAAAAATTAAAGATACATTGCTGTAGAGAGCTTCTCCAGAAACAAACTCTAAACTGTTATGACACCTGACTTCCTTGGTTTTTACACGTTATTTTGTTCATAAAATTTAAAATTTCTTTTTGCAAAATTCCATAATTTATTAAAGATGTTTTTGAAGATCATTATATCAATGTATGATTTTCTGTCGTCAACATAACTAGTTGCGTCACAAAATATGAGTCTGCATCAGTGATACATGATACCAACTTAAGAGTGCGCACTGATGCTTTCTCATTGGTTTAATGATACAGTAGCAAGTGTAAGAAGATGTTCTCTACAAAAAGTGCTTGAGGTCAATGCACTCTGTCATCAAATCAGAAAGACATACAGAAGTGAAAAAACATTTTGTGAATCTACAATATCCAATATTTTTCCATATCTGGAAATGATTCTTTAATTTGAAACAATCCATGTTATGTTCACCTGGATAATTGCATGTTATCACTCGTCAATATGTAACTGAAAAATAAAAGCATATTTAACATGGTAATTTCGTATATATTTAAGATTTTGGGGATGCTGTAGAATACATTATTTTGCCTGGATTTTTATTTTTGCTGAAGAAGTAAATCAGTAAAAAATAAAATCCTTTTACAAATACTCAAGTTATTTAGTTAAACACCTAATTAGGGAAATGCTCTTTTTTCTTCTTTCACAGAATGACAAAGTGTTAAATGTTGGATCCCCAGAACCTAAGCCCTCACTTCCAACACCCAAGTCAGGTGAAGACATTAGGTTCATCTGCAACGCCTAAAAAGAAGAAATTATCGGTAGAACAGTCTCCGGAAAAGACACCAGCCAAGAAAACCAAGAGGAAATCATTAACAGCAGAAACACCAAAGTCTGCCAAGAAAAAGAAAGTAGTCACTCCAAAAAATACTCCATTACCTGAAAAAGGGGTAATGATTTCTACATCAAAGACATTGACTCCCAAAACACCACATCCTAAAACACCTAAAACACCCAAGACCAAGACTGGAAAACCCAAAACACCCCAGTCTAAATTGCGGATAAAAACTCCCAAATCAAAGAAACCACAAAAGTCCCCTCTCATTGATGTGAACTTTTTGAAAGAGAACAGTAGTACACCACTCACAAGTAGTGGAAAGAAAAGAAAAATCAAGGAATATCGATTATAAGGAATAAGCAAAGAAATAAGACATATTATCACTTTATGCGAATCACAGACACTTAAATGAATCATCTCTTCATTAAGGTTATACCAACAGCTAATTTAAAGAAAGTGTTAGAAGTGGATTCCTCTGTTGTAACTGTTTTTTGTCATATTTAAATAAATAATACCCAAAACTAGTGATTAAACGAATATGTGCTACATATCTCTTTGAGTGTAGAATTCCTTGTTGAGAGAATCTGTGTCACGTTCCACTTGCTCACTTTGATCAACTATGCCTAGATGCAGTGCTATTAATATCTCAAAGTCAACTCTTTACTGTAAATTTGATTGGTTGATTGAAATACCATCAACTATGCCTAGATACAATGCTAGTAATATCTCAAGGTCAGCTATTTATTAGCATTTCTTACCTTTATACTCCTGTATGATTGGCTGCAGTATACAGCGAAGCTTCAAAAAGTCTTTCAAATGCTAGTCTAACAGATTGACTGGTCCAGCCCACCTTTTCAAGCAAACATCAATAAGGGCAACATAACAGATATTAGAATACTAGATATCCAGTGAGGCTGACACAGACTAGAAGTCAAGTCTACCAACAAATACAGAGAATTCTTATTTCCAAACATTCCATAGTGTGTGTAATGTTTGCATGAATGTGAAATGAGATATTACCATATTTGCTCTGGTGAGGTCAGTCTTGTTCAAAATGTTTTAGTCATTTTAATTATCAAGCATACAATAAATGCGATGTCTGGTTTATGGTCTTTCTAATAGAAAAAAAAAAGTTTTGTGGCAGTGTGCTTTCCAAATTATTTGGAGCCTTAATAATGCAATAATTGAGAACAATTGACAATAAAATGGCAAGCATTTCTCATGTTCGGTAGATTATAATGTATTTTTTATTAATTCATTTTTAAGATTTTGAATAAATTTTGAAAAAAAAATTCCAAGTTTACTGCATGGAGTGGAATGCATTC